CAAGATTTTTTAAATTTCATTTAAATTTCTTTCTTTCCTATTAGGCATTGCCCCCCCCCCCCTTCTTGTTCCTCAATCACATAACAAAAATCTGTTCTCAAGTGTTTAAAAGAGCAGCTTGGAGCCGGCCTGTGGCCTCACGCCGGTAATCCTGCTCTCTGGAGGCCGAGGCGGGTGGATCGTTGAGCTCAGAAGTTCAAGACAGCCTGGCAAGAGGCAAGACCCGTCGTCTACTATAAATAGGGAAAGAAATTAAATTGGCCAACAATTAAGATATTCAATATTAAAAAATATTAGCCAGGCATGGGGTGCGCATGCTGTTTTTAAAGTTTTTTTTCCCACGTCACTTGAGGCTGAGCCAGAAGGATTTGTTTGAGCTCAGGAGTTTGAGGTGCTGGCTGGCGCGACCACAGCACTCACTCTAGCCTGGGCACCAAGCGAGACTCGTCTCAAAAAAAAAAAAAAACAAAAAAAAAAGATCCGCCTGCGCTGGGCCTCCCAGAGAGCTAGGATACAGGCATGAGGCCACCATGCCTGGCGCCACTATGATTTTATTTTGAATGTCTCTAACTAACAAAGGATGCTCAGCATTCTCTTCATATGCATATCTGCCTGCCATCCACATATTTTCTTTGGTGAAATGTGTTATCTATTTTTCACTGGGTGAGTTGTTTATTAAGTTTTAAGAGTTCTTTTTTTTTTTTTTTTTGAGACAGAGTCTCACTTTGTTGTCCAGGCTAGAGTGAGTGCCGTGGCGTCAGCCTAGCTCACAGCAACCTCAAACTCCTGGGCTCCAGTGATCCTTCTGCCTCAGCCTCCCGAGTAGCTGGGACTACAGGCATGCGCCACCATGCCCGGCTAATTTTTTTTATATATATATATCAGTTGGCCAATTAATTTCTTTCTGTTTATAGTAGAGACGGGGTCTCGCTCTTGCTCAGGCTGGTTTTGAACTCCTGACCTTGAGCAATCCGCCCGCCTCGGCCTCCCAAGAGCTAGGATTACAGGCGTGAGCCACAGCGCCCGGCCTAAGAGTTCTTTATATGTTCTGGATACAAGACCTCTATCAGGGTTGTAGCTTACAAAAATTCTCTCTCACTCTGTGGCTTGTCTTTTCATTTCCTTAACAGTGTCTTACAAAGACAAGAATTTAAATTTTGAGGAAGTCCAATTTATCAATTTTTTCCTTTCATGGCTGTGTTTCTTGTGTCATACATAAAAAAACTTGTCCGACCCAAGAACAAACATTTTTCTCCTGCATTTTCTTTCACAAGTCTTATAATTCTAGGTTTTACATTTTGAATTATTTTTTATAACTGAGGTGTAAGTCAAGGATCTTTTTTGGGGGGGGACAGAGTCTCACTCTGTTGCCTGGTCTAGAGTGCCATGGCATCAGCCTAGCTCACAGCAACTTCAAACTCCTGGGCTCAAGCAATCCTTCTGCCTCAGCCTCTCTAGTAGCTAGGGTTACAGGCACGCACCACCATTCCTGGCTAATTTTTTCTATATATCTTTAGTAGAGATGGGGTCTCACTCTTACTCAGTCTGGTTTTGAACTCTTGACCTTGAGCGATCCACCCACCTCGGCCTCCCAGTGTGCTAGGATTACAGGCATGAGCCACTGCACCCAGCCAGGAGACAATCTTAATCCGTTGACCCCCTGGGTAGAGTGCAGTGGCATCATCATAGCTCAGTACAACCTCAAACTCCTGGGCTCAAGCGATCCTCCAGCCTCAGCCTCCTGAATAGCTGGGATTACAGGCACAGGCCAGGAATGGCCAGCTAATTTTTCTATTTTTAGTAGAGACTGGGGTCTTGCTATGTTGCTCAGGCTGGTCTCTTAACTCCTGAGCTCAAGCAATCTTTCCACCTCAGCCTCCCAGAGTGCTAGGATTACAGGCATGAGCCACCGCACCCGGCCTAAGGATCTGTTTTGGGGTGTAAAACTATGTCAGCACCATTTATTGGAGACTATCCTTTCTCCACAAAATTGCCTTTGCACATTTGTCAAAAGCTAAAGGGAAGTATGGTCTATAGAATGCATTACTTAGCATATCTTATTCTACACAAAAGTTTGATTCACACACAAAAATTATTAATGAAGTATGCACTGGATAATCCTAGACTGTTTCCATAACTATCTAGCTATATCACTTTGGACAAATTATTTAATCTGGGCCAAATTTCATCATCGATGAAATAAATGATATAATTTGATATGGTTTCTAGGTTCCCTTTCAGCATTAAGATTCTAAGAATCTAAGAGAATTTATTTTTAATAATAAATCTCTTAATATTCTCAAACAAGTATCTAAATCCTTCTTAATAAAGAAATAAAGGTAAGAGGACCTTTAAGACCCATTCTCCCTTGTTGAATCTTACGAAGTCTTTAAAAAGTTACCTTTGTTTCTGGAAGACATCTTCTTTCCTGCTGATTTCACTGTTTCTTTGTTCCTTTTTTTCCTAGGTGTTCTGGTTTGTCCTTGACCAGATGCAGAATCAGAGTCAGAAGAGTCAAGTTTGACTTGACGATGCCTTCTTGATTTGGATGCCTTAAGTTAGAAATCCAATTAACCACAATAAATTACAAAATTAACTGATAACTTAGAGAAAATAGACAAAAATGTGGAAAAATTTGAAATATTTGTCTTTAGGTATCATTATACTGGCTGGCTTACTATAATTACTTATACCATGTAAGTAGCCTTTTATCTTTATAACGTGAAAAGTTTCCTGCAGCTATCACCACCATCTACGCATATTAAGTTAAAATAAAGTTGTTCTGTTACCTAGCATGGTTGGGAAATGGAGGTATAGAGACAAATACTGTTTTAATTTTAATTCCTCCTTTCTAATAATAACAATTTCCTTTAGGCACCACCATGTGTTTTGAGTGCAACTACTTCATGCGTGGCTCCAACTATGGCCATGTGGCCCAGATCTGGCCAAAATGAGTTCCACATTCCCACAGCTACCATGATTTGTTCAGAGTGGGTATGTGATCTGTACCATAGCTAATGGAATGCTATTTTACAACTATTTAACTAGCAAGAAGGAAAACCTTTCTCACCTTCTTTCTTGCCATTGAACCTAAAGCTGGGAACGAGGCTGGAGCCATCATGAACAGCATGTGACAACAGCAAAAGCAGCACAGAAGCTGAGAAATGGAGGGCTACTCCTAATGACATCTGTGTTTGTGGGCAGTTAGCTACAGACTTTTTTGTTACATCAGTCAATGAATTCCCTTATTTGCTTAAGCAAAGAGTTTTAAGTTAAGGCTATATATGCAGTATAGATATTAACAATTCTTAAAAAGCAACCATGTGTAGTCATCCTTCAGTATCTATGGGAGAATGGTTCCAGTACCTCCCACAGATACCAAAATCCACAGATGCTCACGTCCCTGATATAAAACGATGTTTTATTTGCCTATAACCTACACACTTCCTCACATATACTTTAAATCATCTCTAGATGACTTTTAATACCTTACACAATGTAGAAACTCTGTAAATAGTTGTTATCTCATACTGTTTACAGAATGACAAGAAAAAAATGTCTTTACATGTTCAGTACATATGCAATTTTTTCCCAAATATCTTCAACACAGGTGGTTGAATATATGGCTGCAGAAACTACAAACACAGAGGGCCAACTGTATTATATGTCAGCTGTACCTCAATAAAGGGTGAAAACCACAACTAAGCTATGACATACATATAGCAATTTATAGGGAACATAATTCAATTGTTTAATGACTTAAGAAATTAATAATGTCTTAAGAAATACATTAAACATCAATTAGTGTCATATTACGTAAATATAAAAACAGTTCTGGTTTAAAAAATTTGATATAATTATTTTCCTTAGTGCTTTCATTCAATAATTATTTTAGAGTCAATTTATTATAGAGTAGCAAATATATAACACCTAGTTAATCAAGAGTCACTTTTCATTTTTTTATTACTTTTTATTTCTACAACTAGAATATGATAGTACATTCCACAAAATAAACTCATTCTTAGGTTGATAAAAAAATCCAGAAAAAACATGGGATTTAAGCACATGAATTGATCAGTGCTTTCTCCTGGAACTCCACTAAAATGACAGTAAAGAAATAAAAATGCATCAACCTACAAAAACAGAGATAACAGGAAATAATACACTGTAAATAAAACAACAAAATTCTGGAAGATAGAAAATGGAAAAGTGAGCAAAAGCTGACGTGACAGAATTAAGAAGGCTGAAACCTAATTGCCTGCACTGAGGAAGTGTAAAGCCAGCTGATCCAAGTGAATTAGAAATTGTAGTCATCAGAAATGGGACTAAAAAATTGGGGAGATGTTTTGAAAATCTGCAGAGGGAACAGTGTCCCATTCCCCAGCCTCAAAGCTAAGCAGCTGAACTCCTGTAGAAAACAGGTGGTCTGCTCTCTGCAGGGGTTAAACCAGAGAGGCTGTAAGCTTAAGGAAACTGCTGTAGCTGAGGAAGAGGATGAGGCCTCTTACTGAAAACAGAGGCTAAGTGAAGCCTGCATAAGAAATGGTGAGCCTCTGGGCGGATTCTCTCCGTAGGCTCCCAAAACACTGACAGCTGGGCTTATTTCCCACTCTCCTCCCCCAGACAAGGGAATGGAAGATTGCTCTCTGGTAAAAATGACTAAATTCAAGAAAAAAATAGGGGTTAAAAAAGCTGTAACTCATCTTGACCACTCTTAATAAATATGAACAGACATCTGAGGATCTTTAGCCATTTGAAAGAAAGCCAACAAAATGAAAGAGATTTAAAAACACACACACACAAAAAAAGGAACTCAGAGGAAATAAGAACTGTCAAAAAACTGTAATGAATATCCTTAAAGAGAAAAAGACACTGCATCCTGCGCAAAAGGAAAAATTCATTTTTAAAGACAAAAAAACATTCAGAGAACAAGAAAAATTCTTAGTAAAATGTCAGCAGAAATTTTTAAAAATCAATGGTTCAGAAGATAAAGCTTAAGAAATATTCTTAAAAATAGGAAAAGATTCAAAGGAGAATAAATAAGAAAATAAAAGTTCAAGAAAAGAAAGAAAGCAGCAAAGAATACTATCAAAGAAACAATATAAAAAACTCCTCAGAACCAAAAGACATCACATGGAATGAAAAAAACTTACACCAAGTTATATTAGCATGAAATTTCAGAACTCAATGGATAAAGCAAAAGCCCTCAAACTTTCCAAGGTCAGGAATACTAGAAGTTGGAAGACAACAAAGAAAGTGGCATCAAAATTCCAGGTAAAAAACCAGAAGAAATAGCTAAGAGAAAAATTTGAAGATGTTGCCTCTCAAGGTTCAGAATACAAGGGTGGGAAGTCATACCGCAGAGGATTGTCAGGCTATATAACTCTGTAGTAATATTGGACTTTTAAAACTATGTATGTGTATTACTAATTAAAATGTAATTTAAAAAGTATCCAGTCAATTTCCAAATTACCTTATTAAAGAAATAACTTACCTGAACAACAACGGAAAAGGCCTTTGATTTTATTTTTGCTAATGATTCTGCCCTTTCACATCTCTGGAAATAAATTAAACAGGAAGAAAAAAAGTTAAAACACCAAACATTGGGCGAAATTTTGAATACCCAAGTATGTTATCAGAAATAAGATTAGAGGCAGAAGGTAGGGTAAAAGAAACCAACATTTACTGGATACCTACTGAGTGCACACAAACACATACACTATATTCTCTCGCAGACATAGCAGGTGCCACATGCCCATAGTGACCATTTGCATTCAGAATTCCAGGAGGACAAGATGAATGAAAGCTTGGTGTGATTAGGCAGAGCCTTCAACTGCCATTCCCTCCTCATCTGCCTATGCCCAATGATGGCTTCTTGTCTCAGCCACTAAGATGGATAAAAACTCTGGAGGCAGGAAATGGTAAATAGTAGCGTGGGCTCCACAGTGGCTGAAAGGCTGACAAGTGAAAAAAGCTGTATTACAAAAGCCTTACCCTGCCCCTCTAAGAACTAAAGGCGCCTTCCACCAACATCCTTTCCTTTCCCTGCTGAAAACTATTAACATCCTCACACACAATCTACACCTGATGTGGCCTTTCACAAGGTTTCCAATAAAGAACATACTAGCTTTCACAGAACCATGATTCAGAATTTTCTGTGGTATTTATTATAATACTGACCAAGGGTCACAACGCTTAGTATAAAAATCACAGCCCCACATAAAATGAAGCTAACCAAATGACTGCTCCATAAGCAATCATACAGCAAAGTTTTCTAACCTCTGATTCTTGTGAATTTCCTTCCCTCTTTTCTTCTCCATCGTTAATTTTTGATTTCAAGGATGGATTCTGAAAGAGCAAAAAGGTTATTTATATATACATAAATTTACAATTCAATTAAATGCAAATCAATGTCAGAACAGTGAGAATCCGCTTCTTTTAATTACTGAAAAACTAAAAGATCATTTCTCATTATTGCAGTGTGGCTTACCACCTGACATTAAGAACACAGTTGGGTTTCAGAATAGTTCCAAAATTCATCAACAAAATGCCTAAATCCTCCTAACTAATGAAAAGACAGCACACGCTTTATGTGGTAGTAAAAAACTTTGGTTTATTCCCCTTTCCTTCAGATTTACAGACATCTTAGTAATGCTCATTGAAGAAAGTTTATCTATCAAAATACTAACAGATTTTTACATTAAATGCCTAGGTCATTTGTGTAACTAACCTATTTGTAGCACTTCAAGTATGCAAACATTCTAAACCTTGACATCTCTCATTAAAATAAATACAGGTAGAGAAATAAAATTATTTTCTTCTTCCCAAGACAATCATTCTCCTTATCACTTTCCTTGTTTATCTTTTTTAAAATTAAGTTTTCAGCCAGGCACAGTGATTCACATCTGCAGTCCCAGCTACTCAGAAGGCTGAGGCAAGAAGATCCTGGAGCCCAGGAGTTTGAGGTTACAGTGAGCTATGATGACACCACTGCACTCTAGCCAGGCTGACAGAGCAAGACTCTATCTCAAAATAAATAAATTAATTAATTAATAAAGTCAAATAAAAATTTCAGCCAGCTTCCTTTATATAATGAAAAGTGAAAAGGTGGCAACAAATCTTTCTGAAAGACAATATGTAGATAATAATACCCATGTAGCATTTGTGAAAACACAAACACTAACACATTATCAGATACATAATAAGTAATTAGAAATTTCTTATTTTTAACTTTCATTTTTTTACCCGAAGTGTTTACTAAAATAAGACGGAGTAGTAATTTCAAAGGTAAATTTAGCAAGGCTGGCCTTTAGGTTTCTGGAGTAAAAAAGTTTCTCTAGCTGAAAAGGCTGATGTGGAATATGGGTAGCTCTAGCATCAACACTTTTGGTTAAGAAAACTAAATTGAAGATTTGTGTTGCTGAGACTTGCAAATGGATAAACCACACCAGGTAGGGAATGTGTAGGGAACAGAGAAGCAACTGCCTTCCCTACCGGTGTGGGAGAAGCCACCACTCAGGTCCAGCTGTCTGCTGCTAAGCAGGAAAGTGAGATAAGTGTTACCGGACCCTCTGACTCTTTTTTGGTTTGCCACTGGTGAGTTTATTACATGATTAAAGTTCAAATAAAAAATAAAAACCATTCAGCAAAACACATACTTTCATTGGTTAAAAAAAAATGAAAAATGAAAATAATGATTAAAAAATATATTAGAAAAAAAAAATTAAAGCCAAACTCTTGGCAGGGAGGCTAGAGCCAGACCTAGGAGTACTGCCTTCCTGTCCCCAGACTCCCTGGCCAAGCCCAGCTCCACTAACTCAGCTTGACTCCATCAAGTTCCTCATCAAGACTTGCATCTGTACCCTGGACAGCTCTGCTGCTCCTGCTATACACCAAGAGTCCTAGGTCCGTGCCCAGGGCTTTGGTGAGGGCCCCACATACACCCATGACCTGAGCAACCGTACTGGTGACATCACTGGGAATGGAGGGCAATAGGATAGTGATGGAGTCCTTGGCCAGTTTGGAGAATGCATTGACACACTGCTTGGTCACAGTCAGTCAAGCTGCTGCATCTCCATTATGTTGTGTCAGAGATGCAGCCAGGATATGAATAGCTTTGGCCTTGGCCCCAGCCAGAACTACACTGCCCTCTCCCACTATCTGATTTATTTGTTCAGCCTTTTCTGCTTTAGAGACCAGTATCTGGCCCTGTTCCATCCCCGCTGCCACTTGATGGCCGACTATCAGGTCCCCTCAGACTCTAGAACTGTGGCCTGTTTCCACCACTCTGTCTCCACCTGCATATGTACGAACCCATTCAGGCAGGGTGGCATATGGATATCCTTGATCTCATAATGAAGGCAGTGGATGCCCCAGCAGACAGCAGCCTGGTTGACTGCATACACAGTGCTGGCATTCAGGGACTCCCACTCCTGGAAGACTTTATCCAGAGTTTGTCAAGCTCTGATCTCATGGTCATCTGAGCCAGCTGGGTGACAGCGTACTCAGGGTCTTCCACACCATAGCTTGCCTTGTAAGAGTCCATGATGCGGAAGTAAAGAACCCCATCAACATGCAGTGTTTCATTGTCAAGGTTCACAGCCAATTGCTCAGGCACATTGATGACAATTTCCTTAAGACTCTGCACATATCAGATCCTGCACAGGCATGAGGATGTTCAAGCCAGGCTCCAGGATCTAGTGGAACAGCCCATTCACTCCATCACTCAGGCCTCCAGCTGCAGTACAAACAGTACCAAAGTGTTTCAGGGGAAATCCAGAGAAAGTGTGATACGGGTTGCAGGGGTAGAAGCCTGCACAGAGCACCTCAGCAAAAGGGCCCCAGTGCTCCTTGCTGCACACGTCAGCATTGCCCACAACCTACTGATTTTTAAAAGCTGAATATCTTGAATTTTAGGCGAAGTCCACAAATATTTAAATGTTGTCATTTAATTCAAATTTTAAAAGCAATGTTAGGATTAAAATGGTGCAAAACAAAACACATCTGTGTGCAGGATTTGGTCCAAAGACTGACAGTGTGTAGCCCCTGGAAAATGTCAACTTATAAAGATTACAATTAATCTGGGGTATAACAAGACGATACACTCCTCTATAAAAATACATATATGCTTCGTCAAGTTAAATAACACCATATAGCTAATAAGTGGAACTAAAGAAGTAAAGCTCTCAAAATCTTAGCTCCTTAGGAATGTAGCCACTAAACTAGGCTGCCTCTCAACATTACCATCCATGTCTAAACAGTTGTATATAATACAAAGGTGAGGTGCCAAAAAAGCGATTGCATACCTTTCTGTCTTTGTGCCACTGCTGATGCTCCAAAACTATGTTCTTGATATTGTCAAAAAAATCATCCTTTATCAAGCTGAGGGCTTTGTCTGGTTTGGACTTATCAACTGAAATTATATGTTTCATGTTCTGATAATGATCATGTACATTCAGCATTTCCTAAAAGTAAAAAGATGAGTCTTTTATATCAATTTTTGAGGAGAAACTTAAAGGCAAAACCAATACAAAATATAAAATCACCTTCCAAAGTGACTATGAATTGATAAGGAATAACATGCTGTAGCATATTGAGAATAATACAATCATGCAACCAAACATTACAGCTTTATTAATGAAGAGGATGCTTTCACTGATTTAACTCAACAAACATTAATTAAAGTACACTGTTACTGGCCAGGCGTGGAGGCTCATGCCTATAATCTTAGCACTCTGGGAGGCTGAGGCAAGCAGATCGCTCAAGGTCAGGAGTTCAAAATCAGCCTGAGCAAGAGTGTCTCTACTAAAAATAGAAAGAAATTAATTGGCCAACTAAAAATATATAGAAAAAATTAGCCAGGCATGGTGGTATATGCCTGTAGTCCCAGCTACTCGGGAGGCTAAGGCAGTAGGATCACTTGAGCCCAGGAGTTTGAGTGTGAGCTAGGTTGATCCCACGGCACTCTAGCCTGGGCAACAGAGACTCTGACTTAGAAAAAAAAAAAGGACACCGTTATGGGGAGACTCTAGGGAAAGACTAATTATCCAGGACATAACAAAAATGATTTCTAGTACAGTGTATCATTAAATATCAGTACTGAGCCAGGGTACAGTGGCTCACATCTTTAATTCCAGCACTTTGGCAGGCTGAGGTGGGAGGATTGCTTGAGTCTAGGAATTTGAGACCCACCTGAGCAATACAGCAAGACCTGTCTCTACAAAAAAAATACAAATGGTGATTTTAGTAATTGAATCCACATACCCTGAGTTCAAGTCCAGTCTTTTACATCTTTCTGTTTCTCACTAAGCTTTAAGATTTATAAATCTTGTGGGTGGGCACGGTGGCTCACACCTATAATCCCAACACTTTGGGAGGCTGAAGTGGGAGGATCGCTTGTGGTCAGGAGTTTGAGACCAGTCTGAGCAAAAGTAAGACCCCGTCACTACAAAAAAGAGAAAAATTAGCCAGGTGTGGTGGTGTGTGCCTGTAGTCCCAGCTACTTGGGAGGCTGAGGCAAGGATATTGCTTAAGCCCAGGAGTCTGAGGTCACAAGGAGCTATGGTGATGCCACTGCACTCTAGCCAGGGTGACAGAGACCCTGTCTCAAAAATAAAAAAACAAGATTTACAAATCTTGGTATAATTAGGGATTTCCACCACTATACTTTAGAGAAATAGTATTCTGTGCATGGCTAAAATCATTATAAAAATTGTCAGTGTACAGATGAAGGTATAACCTCAACATATAGTTGGTAATAAAACAATTTTTTTTAAAAAATTTCAAAAGCACAAAAGCAAATTTACCTCTAATACATCAGAAGTGATAAGTTTCATTACACGATCATCAGGATCCTTAAATTCTTCAGTAACTTCAGCTCGTTGAATTTTTTTCTTCATTCTATATGACAACTGTATGATAAAGAATGTCTTTTACAATGAATGTCTTTTAAAGGATATTTTTAAAGTACTGAAATATAATCAGCAGTAAAAACTGTCTATCAGTAAACATGACGAAACAAAAGCAGCTGAAAATGTATATTTGTTAAATACCCATTTTCCAAAGAATTGTATGTCTGAACTATCCTTTTAGATGCCATGCCACATGTTTAGAAGTTCAGGTGAGATTCTGAGAAATTGCATCATTTGTTAGCTAATGGCAGAACCAGATCTAGTGCTCTTCCAACCTAGTATCTCAACTATCACATGATTGAAGGAACAACAAAATTTATTAGAAGTTTCAACTTTTCACTAAGTGATTTATTAAAATTCCTTGCTACTCTTTCAGTAACTTTTCTGATGTCTGAATAAAGAGAGGCATAAGGAAATGCAGATGCCAAATCTAATTTCCTCTCATAATGACTTAATATGTGGCATCCAGAAACATTTAAAAGCAGAGGTTAAATTTTTGTTTATAGGAAAAAAAGTAATCAGAAAATATTTTCTTTTACTATTTTAAGAAGGATACGAGTTTTGAACACTATTAATATTCATTCCATTTTCTGGAGATTGAGGTGTTTTATGGACAATGAAGTATAATTGCTCATTTTGAAAAACCAAATTATTTTAGGCAACATACCAATTTGGGCATTGCTGTAAAGTGAAATGCTCTGTCTAGTCGTAGCTTCCTAAAAATATAAGCTGCATCAAAATGTTGTGCATTTATCAAATCTTGCTGAAATTTTAAAACTTCATCCCAATCCTTCAGGGCAACTCTGATCTGCAACCAGAAAGAATAAAAAAGTTGTACTAATAAATATGTCTTTTTTCACAAATGTATTGTCATTTTTAAATACTAGCATTTCTAGAGGATGGTCCATAAAATGACTAAAACAAGCTACATGGACCACCTAACATTTATTTAGGACTAAGTAACTTGTACTCCAGTCCTGAAGGCTGCCTCACTCTCCATTGTACCCATACATTTATCAGGATAGATTTAACTTCCTGTTTGAGGAAAATGCCAATTTCAAAGTGGCCCCAGAAGCCCAGCATCCTCTCTTCCCTCAGTCCCGATATCCTGCATGGAGCTGCCTGTTTGGTTTAATCTGGGAAGCTGACACCTCACCCATTCCCCACTGACAGGCCTGCACGGTTCACCAGTCTAGTTTTTGCATCTGTCATTATCTTTTGTATGCAAGGTTTAATGTGCAATAAATGTAAATGGGCAATGTAAACCAAACAAAAAGAATATTGGCATTTCTATTTAAATCATGTTTAATCACATAATACATATTATAAAATGTAAATCATAATACATATTATAAAACAGTATCTGTTTTACATTTCTGCTAAGGAAAAACAACTCACCAACTATTACCTTTTGTTTTGGTTGACACAGTTGCGTATTATATAATCCATACAGGAGATACAAAGCACCAACTCTGATCTGGAAGGTGTATGGAGGTAAAAAATACCGCCAAGCCAAAGCTAAAGCTTCTTTTGTAAACATGTTCTTTTCTAAATTTCTCATTCTGCCACTAGAAAACAAAGAGAAAATACATTATGACTCACTAAGAAATAAGTAATGAAAAAACCAGAAGAGGTATACACTTGTTTAAAAAGCAGTTGCTATTCCCTACTATGCTCAACTATTGGGGGAAAAAAGCAGTTGCTAATAACTGGAAGGGGATTCCTTACCTGATTTTTTCATCATTCAACCACAAAGAGCTAATTTTCTACTGTGCGTCTTACACTGAGGTACAGGCAACTACTAGGTAAACATGATGCAGTTTCCAAAAGCATCAACTTTACTTGCCAAATTGGAGATCAAGAAGGAAGGGCTTTCAAATCATTACTGGTTAAATAGTTACATCTATTAAAACAACCACAGTTATACTACAGAATCAAAAACTTTGTGCATTTTAATACATAATGGACATTTTCTACAATACTTTGTCTTTCTAGGCTAAAGGAGACTTCCCTGAGGAATTGTCATTTGAACTTAAGCGGGAGTGAAGAATAAAGTGGACAAGCAAATGGAGTTGGGGGAAACTCCAGGCTTAGGAAATGCCTATTAAAGGACCAAAAGCAGTTGCAGTTGCAAGAAAGTGAGTGCTTGGAGGGAACTGGTAGATGAGAGATGGCCACAGAATAAGGATGAATGGTCTTGCCAGCCACGTTAGAGAATTTGAGCTTTAGCCCAAAGGCAATGGGAACCACTAAAGGGTGGTAAGCAGGCAGGTGACGGATCAAATTTGTAGTTTATAAAGACATCTTTGGTTGTTGCATGAAAAATTAAATCACTCGTGCAGAGTTTTGTCTTTGCTTGTGTGTCTGTTGTGTTTTAAACATGGGGTTGTAGAAGAACAAGACTGGAGAAGAGCAAATAAATGATAGCAGCCTGGGTCTGGGTGGAGGAAAGTGAAGAATGGAGAGAGCTGTTTAGAAGAAAGGCCTGGCAGAGGACGCACATTCTGGAGTAGGCCCAAAAGGATGCAATCGGGGCCCAATGAAATCGCCCAAGGAAAGCGCATACCCTGACCACAAGCGAAGGCCCAGAGACATGGAGACAGCGTTTGCAGTCTGCCCCTTCTGAGCCCTTTCCACATGGGCAATACGGCGGCCGGGAAGGAAGCAACTTTCTACACAGCCCGTGGGCAGCTGGGAGAGGCAGGCAGTAGACGAGAAACACCCACCAGAAAATGGTCCCGAACTTCATGTTCCTCCAGAGCTCCGTGAAGTCCTCGAACCGTACGCTGTCTGTCTCCTGGAAGCGGCTGAGCAGCGTCTCGCAGTCGGCCTGCAAGCCGGAAGGAGTCCCCATGCTGACGGCGCCGGCGCTCCACGCTCTGGACAGCCAGCGGTGGTCGCCGAGGAAACCAAGCTTGGACCCCGCCCCCTACGACGTGACGCACGCGCGCTACGTGGCGTGTTATCCGGCACGTTTAGCTCCGCCCTTATCCGGGCCCCTTGCTAGCGATCGTGAGCCCTCTGCGCATGCGTGAAATTGTATGGCTGGTTTATCAGCTGAGATCGTTTTTTATGGTGCAGGGCTGAGATTGGGCCTTTTTTTTTTTTTTTTTCTCTCCCACCCCTGCCTGAGATTGGGCCTTTTAATTTCGGGAGTTCCATTGAGCACAAGGATTTTAGGTCTTTATTTTCTCCTAGTTAACGTAAATTGGCTTTAGCCTTACTATCGCTCTCCTTTATTTTTTTAATAATATATATTTTTAAATAAGTCATTCATTGCATATGAAATTTGAATACAGTTTATTACATTTATTTAATGTTTATGTATAAAACATAAACAAAGATGTCAATATAATACTTATATTTTAACTGTGGACAATAAGAATGCGAATATTTATAATGAACTTTATTCACAATGTTGAAAGTTTATAAGAAAGACAAATTAGTAGCTGAATAGAGAGATGTACAAGGTACTTGGTTGGAGAAGAAAAATAATAACAAAAAGGTTATTCTGTAGAAATCAATCCATGAATTCCATTGAAGTCAATTGAAATATTTTTACATTATTTACTGTAAATTAATATGAACAAAATTGAAGCCTTTAAAATTATGAAAATATAGAACAAAGTTGAAGGGGTAGGACAACTGAAAGTTGGAATGGGGGTGAATGATACCTTGATCAATGTGTATTACACATGAGCCATATTTTAAAAATATGTTATTGGCATAGCAATCAGTGCGAGAAACTCAATATCTCAAAAGACCAAGGGCAGTCCCATGCATGTACAATATATAACAAAGATGGCATTAAAATAGTCAAGGAAAGAATGAAATACTCAAAAGTTTTTAGAATTTTTATATTAAATACATTAAAAACAAAATTATATCCCTAATTCACAACATAGACAAAAAGCGAATTAGTTATATTAATGAATTCAACTTAAAAACCTTAAAATGTGAGAAAAAATAAAAGGTAAAATATTTAATGACCTCAGAGGATAAGGTAAAAAAGTAAAATATTGTAAGCAATATGGAGTTGCTTATAATTAAAAAAAAACTACCAATAAAAACAAAATAATATATAAAAAGAAAGACAGATTGGGTGAAACTTGCAAAAAAAGGAGACAAAAATTAGCTTCTAGAAATTAAGACTATATAAATAGGAAAGTAAACATTTACAAATATTTCCAAAAAGGCATAGCACATAATAGACATTGTATAGAAGAAATAAACATTTAAAAATATAGCTTAATTAAAAAATAGTGACATCAAAGGCTGACAAAGATGTGGAGAAACTGAATCACTCATATCTTGCTGGTGGGACTTAAAATTATAGCCATTCTAAAAAACATTCTGGCAGTTTATTAACAAACTAAATATGTAGCTACCATGTGATACAGAAATTGTACTCCTGGTCATTTATCCCAAAGAAATGAAAACTTACATTCACACAAAAACATGTACACAAATGTTTACAGCAACATTTTATTCATAATAGTCCAAAGCTGGAAACATAGCAGATATTCTTTTTTGGTTTTGTTTTGTTTTATTAAGATTTTTTTTATTTCAAAATATTAAGGGGGTACAAATGTTTTTGATTACATGGGTCACTTTTGTAATGCTTATCATTCTCCTTTAAAGGGATACCAGGGTGACACAAGTCAACTTTTGAGCTAGGGAGAACAGTGCCAACTTCACCCCTCCCCCACATGGAAATAGAATCTAAGGAAGACTTACTACTGCATTCACTCTCCTTCTGGGTTTGTACTGGTAGGACTTTAAGTTTCATTTTTCTGGTAATTTATTTCTATTGTAGTTTACAAAAGTATCAGTCCACCATAGATTGAGGAGAAATTGTCTTATTACCACAGTTTAAGAAACATTGTTGTACACCATTTTAGTACACATTCCATTGGCCAGAACTCAGTCACATGGACCAGGTGCAAGGGGACTAGGAAAGGGGACTGGGAAATGTAGTCCATAACTGAGCGACCTCCCAGCAATGGCTCCAATCCGTGGAAGCAGCACACAAATCTTTTCTTTTTAATTTTTTGTTTTAAATTATGGGTACATAATAGTTGTATAAAAGTGCACAAATCCTGTGTCTTAGTTCATTCCTGCTGCTATAACAAAATATCATAGTTGGGATAAATTATAAACAACAGAAATTTATTTCTCACAGTCTGGAGGCTGGCAAGCCCAGATCAAGGTGCCAGATTTGGTGCCCAGAAAGAGCAACTCTTTGCTTCCAGGATGGCATGTCATTGCTCTGTCCTCACATACTGGAATAGTGAACGTACAAAAGAGGCCTAGTGAGTTCCCTCCAGCCCTTTTAAAAGTTCTGCTAATCCCATTTATGAGAGCAGAGCTCTCATGATCTAATCACCTCCTAAGGCCCCACCTCTTAATACTGTCACATTGGCAACTAAGTTTTAGCTCATGAATTTTGGGGAACATGCAGACCACAGCAGACTGCCAACATCTCTGCTACAATTTCATTCTAAAAGTGTTAAAGTATTGCCTTTCAATATACTGTAAAGTATCTAAAAATTATTTCTATGTATGGGACGAGTTAAGAATCCAATTTTACTTTTTTCCATATGTATAACCATATGTATATATTTGCCATATGTATAATTTTCCAGCACCTGTTATTGAATAGTCCATCCTTTCTCAATGATCTGAAGTCAATTCTGTCATATATCAAGTGTGCAAGGTTAATTGCAACCAGGACACAACTGTATACACAACAGGCTCTGTACCTGTTGTTAAAATACTAAACTACAGTATTTCCATTACTGTTAGTATATAATTACCACCCTGAGCCTACTGACTGCCGTCAATCCTACCACTTGAGCTACCCTCCCTGGAAACCCCCAGCCTCCCAGCAATTGAAAACTGAAATGATTAAGCCTACCACAGGAAGAGGACTGCAGTGCTCCCTCCAGCTTCAGTCTGTTTCTGAGGTTATCTACTTCCAAAGTTCCATTTATATTTCACCACATTAATACTATACTCTAATTATTAATAATATAGCTTTTTAAAAGAATCATATCTAGGAAGGAAATTTCTTTTATTCTTCTTGAAGGAGTGTCTTGACTATTCTTGAACTTTTGCTTTTTCATATAAATGTTTTCATTTGACTTCTCAAATTTCTCTAATAGTGCCTTTGTAATTTTGATTAAATTACATTAAACCTGCAAGTAAATTGGGAAGGAATAATGCCTTTGTTATACTGAGTCTTTCAATCCATAAACATTTCTTTAACCACCTTGAGCATTTTCAATAAAGTTTTATAATTTTTCTTCCTGAACTTTTTACTTGTCTTTGTTGGATCTTTCTTTCTTCCTTCTTTCTTTCATTTTTTGTTTTGTTTTGTTTTGACAGTATCTTGCTCTGTCATCTGGGCTACAGTGCAGTGGCATGATCATAGCTCACTGCAACCTCAAACTCCTGGGCTCAAGCAATCCTCATGTCTCAGCCTTCTAAGTAGCTGGGACTACAGGTGTGCAGCACCATGCTTGGCTAATCTTTTCTATTTTTTTGTAGAGATGGGGTCTTGTTACATTGCCCAGGCTGGTCTCAAACTCCTGGGCTCAAGTCATCTTCCTGCCTCAGCCTCCCAAAGTGCTAGGATTACAGGCGTGAGCCAGCATGCCCAGCCTTGTGTTGGACTTTTCTTATGTATCTTGTTTTATATGGCTGTGGTATTTGGTATCTTTTACTTCCTTAACATTTTCTAACTGCTTGATGCCAATATATAAAAATGCAATTAAATTTTATATATTGATCTAACATCTAGTCTCTTTGTTAAACTGTTTTTAATTACAATAATTTTTCTATAGATTCTTTTAGGTTTTCTAGATAGGTGATAGCAGCAGCTGTGAATAATGGTAGTAATGATAGATAGTATGTTATTTCTCTTGAATCCTTTTTTCCTGAGTATGAATCAAATTTTCCTATTTCTTTTCATATCTCAAAATTTTTGTTAAAGATTGCATACTTTATTTAACTTACTGTGGCAATTCTGGATACTGATTGCTCCTCCTTCTCCCTGGAACTTGTTTTTGTTCACTAGTTTAGTGACTTGGTTGGATAATTTCAATGAAGCCCATTTTCCCCAAAGTGTGAAGCCGCTGATTGCTCCTCAGATACAGCAGCCCTGGCCTTGTTTATAGTCAGCTTTGGTCCATGGTGGTTTTACCAGGTCCTCTTTGTCTCTTTTCCTGATTACTTTGTTAAACTGTCTGCCTTTTGGTATCCACCCGGTGGTTAGGCTCCCTAATTGCTACCTGATTGCTTTATCATTTTTTGACAACACCCTGAGGCATAAATTGCTCCATAGGCTAAACCAATTAAATTTTACCTCTCCTTTTCTGAGGTATTAATAGTTTTTTGGGTTTTTTTTTAAGTTTTACCTTTTATTCAATTTAAATCAGGGGACTTATTTTTTTTTCAGCATATTATGGGGGTACAAATTTTAAGGTTTCAATAAATGCCCTTTCCCCCACTCCTCCCACAAGTCTGAGTTTCCAGCATGACCATCCCCCAGATGGTGCACATCTCAGTCTGGAGGTTTATCCCTTCCCTGGTACTCTCTGGTGAACTAGCTGGCCTGCTGTTTAGCTTGTTGCTTTTAGGAAGCAACCAGTTTCCTCTTAATTGCTTACAACCAAAATATCCATTGTTTTCAAGACCACCTTTAGGTTCAAATTTTCCTGTAGTCTGTTCCCAATGAAGTCATTTCCTCTGAGAAGAGCTTCAGAGTTCTCCTTTCTTCTGTAGGCCTCTCACCCTGGTAAAAATCTCTGAGCCAATGCTTCATGGCTGGGGATGGGTATAGTGGCCTTCGTCGCTCAGCGACTCTCTCCTGCTTTATGAGCAGGGCTCTGGGAGGGGACAGTAGCTTCTGTTCTTCTCAGGGGAATTCCCA